GGGGGGGGGGGGGGGGGGGGGGGGGGGGGGGGGGGGGGGGGGGGGGGGGGGGGGGGGGGGGGGGGGGGGGGGAGAATGGGCCGGATTGCGTCTAGAGTCAGGAAATCCATCGGGAAAACAGAGCCTGCAACGAGGTTATATCAACGCAGCGTCGAGCACTGTTGGAACGGGAATTAAGGAGGAAGGGAATGACGTCATCGTGCATGGATGCGGAGAGACCCGTCTGGATCGCATCGCGTTCATTCGCATGCTCGTAGCCCGGTCGTCAAAGTTCAAGGAGGTCCGTGTCTAAACCTTCAGAATAGTTGGCCGAGAAATTGGGTTGAAAAAAAAAGGACACGCTGTATGGAAGATCCTGAGGACAGTCGATGACCGGGCCATGATCGGCTCAACACACGAAATGATCTGGGCGAAACATGACTCGCTTCATTAGAACAAGCGGAGATCGAGAAGCGATGCAATCAGGCCTTCCGTCCTGCAAGGCGTCCGCATGTAAGCCGATCCCAGGTAACATGACATTCGATCGATGCTCTGTGCCACCAGGGTAGTGTGGCATCGGCGTGATCGTAGTGAAGTACCCAGAGCCCTCGCTAGATGGTGGTCATGTTCCCTCTCAGTCTCGTAATGCAATTAAGGACCTCTCCTCCTGCATTAAAATTTTTTTCCCTCCCTTCCTCTATTTATTATGTAATAAATAAACAGATATTAGGGAAACGTGGAATTATGTTGTTCTGATGGCAGCATCTGATTCTGAAACGAAGTAAATGTCTAAGTTTAGCATGGGCATGTAGGTATCTAGACTTGAAATATTCCTTCAATGCGTTGAGGTTTAGATGTAATTAGTGGACTACGATCTGGTGGAAAGAAATCTGGGACACAAACGCAGGGCAACGAGGGTCAAAGTTCGTCTCACAAATGTTCAGGCAAGGAGCAGCAGCTTTCGCAGGAAATTTCATGCGATCGACAGTAGATGGCGCTGGGGTCCCGAACGGTGTGTAAACAAGCATAATGAAATTACATTTGGGCTGTGATGAATCAATTCAAATTCCATCAACCGTTTTTCGCAAAATAGGAAAGTTTCTTCATCTCTTGAAGATGAAAAGTTAAATTCAGACAGCAATAAAAGACGTGTTTCTCGTGACCTCGGGTAACAGCATCATTCGTCCACACGTTAATTTGGTATACGAAGGCAACCGTTAATTAAAGAAGACGACACACAACTCTCATTATGAGGTGCAGCAGAAGCATGCGGTAAAGCGTGGTACGATCAGCAACTCTACGAGTGTAATCAAATTCTAAATAAAATCTGGTTTTGGGAATTTCATCCAGAGACAAGGAAAAATAAGACACGAGGCCGCAAATGATGGAACACCACTCTCCGTCGTCGCCGTTGCTCAAGAAGAAAGAAGTCGGTCATGTAACTTAAAACGAGCAATAACGGCCAAATTCAATCAATATGGAGACAATGCATTCTAAAGAGTACATCACTCACAGACTCGATGTCCTCGTGAAGATGGCGCCATATTTAATAAGGCAACCTCTCGTCCCGAACGAGACGATGCTGATAATATCCAGTCGTGATTCGGAACATCAACGGCACTCCTCAGTCACCCTTCGAGCAAATTTAATTGGTATTACAAAGATCTATAGTGAATTTCGTTTTAGGATCGGTTAGAATTGGACTTACTTCGTCTACTACTTTGTCTCGTCCACTGAGTACGGATCTACTTGTCGGTGTTATTACCCCAATTCCTGGAACATGTCGATTCACTGATTATATGTAATGGAGCTTCCAGCAAGCTCGAAGATATTTGGTGACCTGAGAAGTCACACAACTTTCAGTATTATGAGAAAGTCTAGGAAGGTCTCACTTTACGTTGATCAAGTGTCGAGATTACCGTTACCATGAGTAATTCCTAACCAATGATCGTCGCCATTGATCCTGGAGAGGGATTTTCTCGGGATGAAATGCAAATTCAACTTCAACAAACAAATTCGACAAGCTTGTGAGTCTCAGTAAGGCGATGTCATTAGTAAAGGTGCTCGGTTCATATTGTGGATGCGAGAAGACTGTCGCCGAAACCCGAATGGAATTACTAGGTGGCCACCCGGTAATTCCATGAACACGTTCACGGATCCCAGCGCGACCCGACAGGTTCCCGAAGAGCTGCAGCAAGAAATGAGATGTGAAGATCGTCGCCATCGAATATCAGCACAGAGTCATAACGTTCGAGCCAAGAGATGCTTCCTCGTCTGCAACACAGTGAGCAGCAGTGAGGAGATACGACTGTCGATGAGGGAGGCTCTGCAGCGGAAGGGATATCTACTAGGTCCCATCCATGCCATCCAGGGATATTCCCTCTGAGCGGGGAACGGAGCTCCTCCATTAACTCTGTTGATATCACGCTCGTTCGCTTCAAAGTCCCTGGATCTCTTTGTCGTTTGGGAGACGCCGCATGCTAGCGTTGATGTAGCGTTGGGGAATCACTATACAGTACCGCTCAAGGAAGAATGAATATTAAAAATGCTGAATTTGTTGTGATTAACAGAAATAAGATGACTGCCTTAGTCTCGGAATAGGCGAGAAAGCATGGAAAGAAGTATACTGTATATATCACTAGCATAATTTTACTATAATTTCATTTCTGTTCTATGCACATTAGATATTGCAATAATGACCATGGGGATTGCAAGTGGATGCCTCTTTCTCATGGGTCAGTCGAATGAAAACGATAATAATCAATTTTCTTACATCGAGTGCATAATTTCTCTATGTTTTCCCCACCATCGTCGATACCAAGATTCCAATGCGTCAAAATTTTCTTTATACCTGCTTCCTTCACTTCATCGTCCGCGCATAGACGTGCGAATAGAGCTGCAAATGATTCTCAAATCTGCTGTCAATCCATCCAGCGAAACGCCCTTGCCTCCTTCTGAGCTCCTCTACCCTCGAGGTCGTTTCTGCCCTTTGACCTTGGAATCAGCAGCTACTCGTTCGGGCATGAATTTCGATGAGTGGCACGCCTTCAGCAGTCGGAAATCGAATTACAGCGCACCGGGCTTCCTTGAACGCGTAAGGCTTTGTGAGCCTGTTCCTTATGTGAAGGCGCTGTTCTTTATTCAAGAGGACATTCAGGACGAATGTGTGGGACAGCACATACTGATTCGTAAGTTGAACCTTCAGAGATTCTTCGATTTCGCCATCCGGAAAAATCCGAGAAGTTGCATACATGCACAAAGCAAGAACGTTTATTTCAGGATTCCGGTATGATGAAGCCATAATGATCGTGTCAGAAAAGATGAGACGAAAATTTAGGGTGCGGGGCACCACTCGCCGTCGGTGGCGTACTTCATGATGAAGTCGTTCATGTAACCTGAAACGAGCAGTAATTTTCAAACGCGGTAGATACGGAGAAAACGTTTTCTTAAGAGCAAATCGATGACTCACTCGATGTCCTCGTGAAGACGGCGCCGTATTTAATGAGACAACCCCTTGATCCGTAGGAGACGACGCCGACGTGCTGATAATATCCAGTCGAGGTTCGGTACATCAACGGACCACCAGAATCTCCCTAGAATGGTATTTCGAAGCCATTATCATCGATTGCAGCGTGCAGTCGAGGCTCGATGTGAAAGAATTTTCTTCAAGGCGAATTTTTCAGCCTTCGAGTTCGTCATATCGAGCGTCGAACGTATTTCGATTCAGCATGAAGCTTACATTGCAAGTATTTCTCCCCGGCGTCAGGGTACAGATCTGCTTGCTGGTGACTCCACCCCACCAGCCCGAACAGGTCGATTGACTGATTACAGTCAATGGAGCTTCCATCAGTTTCGAAGACCCTTGGTTGCCTGAAAAGTCATCGAATGTTGCGTTTCGGGGAAACGTCTAGGAATGGGAGTCTCGATGAGCGTCGACTTACCGTTCTCCTGAGTGATGCCCCAACCGATGATGGTCGCCGTCGACCCCGTCGGAGGATTTGCCAGGGCCGAAGTACAAATGGGACGGATGTTGGGATACTTTATGAAGTCGACAGGCGTCGTGAGCCTTAGTAAGGCGATGTCGTTAACGATGGAGGTCGGGTTGTACTGTGGATGCATGATGGCTGTCGCTGTGACCTGATAGGATTGACCGGCTGGCCACTGGAACTTATACAAGGATCCCAGTGTGACCCAATATGTTCCAGAAGGGCTGAAGATGAGATGTGAGGATACTTCTTTGATCGAGTGTTAGTTCGGGGCCAAGACATGGGAAGGAGGAAGTGCTTACTTTCTTGCAACACAGTGAGCAGCGGTGATAAGATATCGACTGTTGATGAGGGAGGCTCCGCAGAGGGAGTTATATTGGCCAGTCCCCATCCACGCCATCCAGGGATATTTCTTCTGAGAGGGGACCGGAGTTCCTCCGATGACTCGGTCGAAATCAAGCGCACCTCCTTCTGTGTCCGCGGATCTCTTTCCCGTTTGAGAGACTCCGCACTCTATCAATGAAGTCGAGTCGGGAGTTGCACTACATTGATTTTCGAGGTGTAATGGAAGATAAAATGGTGCATTTGCTTGGACTTACTGCAATTCGAAGACGCTGAAAGAGAAAAAAGAAACCAGGAATTAAAAAGAATGTAATGTAAATATGACATGATCTGCTATTTCGTAAATGTATTTACGGAATAACAGATCATATATTCTGAATGATTCTTTAATTTTCCGAGCTAGGCAGTCGAGTTTGCTCATGGATGCTTCATTATTTCAGACTTGATGCTTTGTGAAGATTCTAGTTCAAGAGAGACGGACCAATTTCCTTTAAAATTCCCTTTTGCAGCTTTCATTGGTATTTCTGGACGCAACCGCCAAAGAAAAGGGATTCGGGGTCTCGAAATGCAGGATTTATAAATGCTCGAAGCAGGTATCCCTTACCTCGCAAAAGGAGTGAAGATAGGGATGGTCCGAAATCCTCGATACTATTTTCGCTCTCGCCCTACGAGAAGGAAGAATCGCTTTGACACGATGAAACAGGCTCCTGCTCCAATATGACGAAACTGCGAACGGACCTGGACGTGAAAGGCGAGCGAAAGGGAGAGGAAGACGAGGATGGCGGTAACTTCCATGCTAGAACAGGTTTGATGTCGACTCCGTCCAAAGAGGAACTCTGGTGCGGATCCGCATGGATGCAGTCCTATTTATACCATGGGGTTTTGACGTGTTCAGGATTGGACAGCTTTTCCATGGACGCAGTGCCAGACATGAGAAAGGTGGCATCTCTTTTCGCTGCATGTTTTTGACGTGTGGGTCCAGGATCCTGTTGCTCACCATGTTTAAGATTAATAACCGAGCATGGCGTTACCTGCCGGGTCCTCGTCTCACGCGTCATCTAAACGAGGATAGATAAGTAAGAGAAGCACTTACATCATTACTTTCCCACCTTCACTTCTCGCATGAACTTCATAAAAAGGACGAATGTCGATTCTGGATGTCTCAAGAGGACATTTAAAATTATATTGTTTTCGTGAGTCCAAGATACAGTACATATCCCGGACTCAGCCGAATCCCAATTCCAAAATCGAGTCGGTCCCAAACCCATCGCAGCCGGATCCGCCGCGAACGCCTCATCGGCAGGGCCCAGAGCAACGCGGACCGGTCCACGTCCCGCTAACCCGCGGCGCGTGCGACGCGGGGTGAGTCATGGTCGAGTCGGGAGATTTTCGGCGCTTTTGCGGATCTGGACGCGACTGCCAAGGTTCAAAATAACCAAAACCATCTGCTTCACGAAGCGAGGCCATCTATTGTAAATTGTGATATTTGACATTTCCAACATTTTGCAGTGAAGGGAAATATTTTCGGTATTAAAATCGCAAGCTTTTTCCGATGGGCACGAAAAGCCGTCTTCGAATGGGAACTTTGATGCCAATGTTGATAGCAATGAATGGCAATGGAAGACATGTTTGAATTTTGCGAAACAATTCATCAGCTCGCGAAAGAGAAGGTGCCGAGTGAATCCCATGTTTTCAAATGCATGGAAAATGTTGGAATCAGTATCCTATCGTGTAATTTTAGAATTTGCCATGGAGTAGAAATAAATAACAGAATTCCTCGAGTTTAGCTGACATTCTTTAGCAGATCCCATCGTGGCCATAATAGAGACTGAAATCGGATCATTGGACGATATGCTGTGTATCAGACAGGGTTTAATTTCCTTTTCGTGGATTCCGCCTTGCTGGGCGATTTTTTTTTCGCCTTCGCCGAGATAGGGCGTGCAAACTGCCGCCGCCGATCGTTTCCTGCATCCGGGATCGGGATGCAGATTTTCCAGATCCTGGATGACTCACCGGGTCTGCCCCGATCGGTGGATCTTGAACGCCGGCACGTGTCATCGACCCCGCCTGGGGTCGATGACACGCCCCAACTGGAGTGGTGGGTTGCGTGGGGAGAGAGCGTCAGATGAGCAGGTGGAAGCGATTTCGCTCTTATTCTGCAGTCAAGGTGTGAGGATGAGTGGGAGCACACCTGTCCCTCCTTAATTACCACTCCTGATATGTAGTTATTTGTCGATGTCAAGAACGAGTTTGAAACATCGCCCGGAAGGGTGTCGATAAAGCGGGATATCCGCATGAAAGCAAACTGCTCTTCTCTCGGAGGAGGTTCCAGCAGCAGCAGTGGATGGTCGGATGCTCGTCGCCTCCTCGATTGCCTCTCTGTCTCCTCTTGTCGTAGGCGAGACGCGATCCTCTCATTCGTGGGGAGACGAAATGCTGGATGGTCTCAGTTCGCTCTGTGGCTTTCCTGCTTTTTCCTTTTTTTCAGCATTAAACTTCATATGGATCAGGGACCCTGTTCTGGATCTGGTTCGGGACCTGCGATCAAGCCATGCGTCATCATTTTCTCGTTTGCCATTTGCCACGAGTGCAAGAAAACATTGAACGTCATGGAAGATCCACGTCTGTACTGTCCTTTGTCTCTTGCCTATCAGGATATATAGACAAGTCCTTGGTAGGTTGTAGTACATAGTACAGATAGTACAGGTTCAGTAATACAAGTGGGATTACTTCCAATGCGAAGGGAATCTAAGTATAAGGTAGGAAATGATGATATGGAGTAAAAACCAGCTACTTGGGTAAGTGCTTTATAGACGACTCCTTCGACAAAACGTCCCATATGCCACAGACTCCCACCCTCCCAAAGATTTCCAGCGCTTCCCTGAGTAACGTCTTCGTGAAAGTGTCGGAAACAGTGTATTCTGTGAAGAGTGGAGATATGGTCACTTTGCCTTCCTTACATTCAAAGTGATGATGTTGCATGACATCGCAGCCAAGATGATAAAAACACAGAATTTTGTGTACTTAATTAAGGATAAATTATTTGAAGTGCCTTCACTCATGACAGCGAGATTTTATGAACTTTCGGTTGGGAAAATCGGGTAAAAAGAAAAGTCCTGCTCAAACGTGATGTGCATATATTTCAAGCCTCAAAAAGTGCGGAGGAACCGAAAGAAACAGAATGAAAGGAAGCGAAGGACGTTTTCAAGGTATACTGCACCACTGGGCATCCTGGGTGTTGGGAAAGATGAAGTTGTTCGCGTAAGCTGGAATTGCGGAAGCAAACAACAAGGTAAGGTCGCCTGGAATGCGTAGAAACCCCCTGGTGGAATGGAGGAACTTACGTGATGTGCTCGTGAAGACACTGCCAACATCAGGTGAACAATTGTCCCGACCAAACGACGTAACACCGACAGTCGCGTAAACACCTCTTGAAGTTCTATACATGAGGGATCCACCAGAATCACCCTAGAAGAAGAATTTTCAGCGACTCCTCTATAAGTTCTGGATGATTCCATAACGAATTTCATTCATATTGATAGTTCTGGCTTACTTGGCAGGTATTTCTCCCAGCTGTTTTCACGCACACGTAGTTGTTATTGATATGAGAACCCCAATCGCTCTGACAAGTCTGAAGACTCATTACGTACACCGCCGTTTCCATCAAAGCGTACGAGATATCATTGCTATCTGAAAGAGTGCTTAAAGTCTTAAAACTCATTGATTGAGTCGTGATGTCGACTGGAATCCCGCGTCGTTGACTCACCCCTGGAAGGGCGGCCCCATCCTGCGATCGTCACCACCGAATAGGGACTGGGGTAGAAACCAGCGAGACAAATGGGACGGATGTTTGGGTAAGCTGCGAAGTTAACGGGAGTATGAAGTTTCAGAAGCGCGATGTCGTTCTCGAAAATCTGTGGATTATAACTGGGATGCATGATGGCCGTAGCTGGAATCTGGATGGATTGCCCCGCTGGCCATTGAAATAAGGTCGTCGATCCCAGGGTCACGTAATATGTCGCGTACGGGCTGCAAGAATGGTGTGAAAGAGGCTGTTGATACTTTGTGGAGGATTCGATTCACTCCTGATATTCGTAGGTTCGACAAAACATCCTTACTCTGACGCCACGCAATGAGCGGCAGTGAGTATGTAGCGATCGTTAATGAGTGCCGACGTGCATTGGAAACCATACTGGCTTGTCCCCATCCATGCTATCCACGGGTACTTCCGTTGACTGGTAACGGGTATTCCTCCAATGATTCGGTCGATGTCAAAATCAGTCGTGTTCGTCGTGTCGTCTGAGGACCGCTTTCCCGTTTGCGAGAGTCCGCAATCTTGAACATGACAGTGAATGGCAATCCCGTACTCATTGCACTGATAGAGGTTTGAATAAATGAATTCAATATTTTGAACTCACAGCAGGAAGCTGACGTTCTCGATCCTGAAAAGCGGAAAGGACACACAGTGAGAAAAGTCGTATGATTTTTCTTCCAACTGGAATTCATTTTATTTTAGTTCCCTGCCCGCTGTATTTTCGTTTTCATTACGAGAACTACACTGTGAAGATGGGATGAGTGCTTTTGAAGAAAGACTCCTGCAATATCGCTTGAAGGGCCCGATACGTGAATTATTCGTAGAGAACTATATTGGATTTAGTTTTCCGACATTGTGAGGTATTGCCTTACCTGGGACATCGAGCAACTTCAACAACGGTGGGAAATCAATAGAATCTCCATTTTCTTCGCCCTGTTTAAACATAGAGTAACAACATCCTCCTTAAGCCTACAATTTTCATGAAAGGTTTTTCATTTCCTATTTGAACGAAGAATCTGACAGGACCTGAGATGATGCGGAGAACACGAGGAAGAGGAAGAATAAGGAGAACGGTGATGATTCCATACCTGCGGCCATGTGGAATGAGGACTTCTGCTTGGTGACGAGACCAATGACGCCGAATTTATAACACAGGTCTCTCCGGAACGGCCTACTTTCACAAGGTGACATGAATGCCATATGCACAGGTGTGTTGGCATGAGAAATTTCGTGATCTATGTGATTACCCTAGTGGTGGTTCGCGGTTCATATATAACGGTAGGCCTGTGAATTATGCAATGTAATTCGTTCTTTTTTTTGGCCCTCATTGAATTCATTGTCTTCCCGAGAAATATCTATCATTGCTCTGGATTGCATCTTAGATTAATTTAAACTTTATGAAAGGTTTCGGTGAGGTTCCCATTCATATCTATGTTGAGGTTGCGGAATTACTACTGTGAATCCTAACGAAGGACGCCATTCACTTGTTACTCATGGACGTGCTAATTTTTAATCCAGTATTTTTTTCATCATCTAACTCTATGTGGATCCGGGTTCCTGTTCTGGATCTGGTTTGGCACCTAGGATCAAGCGTTGCGTCATCATTTTGTCATATGCCATTTGCCACGAGAACAGGAAGCAGATTTTTTCCTTATTTCGCAAAGCGTGCCATCAACTTCATCGAAAGAAATGTATTTGGTTAAGAAAAGCGTTCCACATCTTTGTTACAGTGACCTATGCAAAAAGGGCAAGTGCCCAATAACGTTGACGTCTTGTCTTGTTCTACGAACATGGTTTTCATCGATGTTAAGTGTTGGAATCTCGTCAAGATAATACAGTCACTTTTTTCAGACTTCATTTTCGGAATGTGAACTCATAAGGGTGAATTCCTTTTTTCTCGGAGCGGATCTCGTAATTTTTCGGGGCATCGGCCAACTTCCCTTTTGGTTAAATGTCTGTGGACATCCTTTTCGCATTTAGCGAGCTTTCCAGCGGAGTTTAATTTTTTTTTCCCAATAACGATCGGAAACCCACATTTACTACCTCGAAGTGTTTCACTTTCATTCCAGTGCCAAAAAAGAATCGATACCAAAATCGGATTGATGTGAAAAGGATTTGCCAAATTTATTGAGCGTTATTGAATTCATTATATTTGTATGATACTTTACTGTTTATAATATTCATTTTTTAAATCTTAAATTGAATCACATTGTAATTTCAATGAATGATTCATTAATTAGGATAACTCCACCAACGTTCGAACAGGTCCGCTGGCCGAGGCTCATCATTCACTTGTTCCATCTCAACGGTTCAAGCTGGAATCCTCTTTTTTTTGTACCTGGGAGCCCAGCACCAAGAGATCTGAGTGCTGTAAAGATAATGTCCTTCCTACCCTTATGACTACCGATATTGCATACTAGCTATGGTCGAGCCTTCGGCGCTCCATTACCTTGGTTAGTGATTAATTCATTTACCTTTTTGCGAAATGGGAAACACGTATTCAAAGTACGTCCCCATTGAAATGCGTGACTTATCGGGACGAAAGTCTTGATTGTTATCAAAATCATTACTTCTATTATTTCTAATGTGCCTAACTTGAAATCTTTTTGTGTCCCTCTTTGTAAGGGTGGAGAATACATTTTGAAATACTTCCCTCCTATAATCTACGCTAAAGGTCATATTTCAAATGTTATATTTTTCCTGTACTCAGCAATCAAACAAGTACTTCTGAGGGACGTTTAAGTTTTCTTTCTCTGTTTCGTTGGATTAAAAAAAAATGAAATAAAAATGGGACTGAAAAAAAGTGCCCCTATCGGTTTTAACGAAAATTGTATTTCTTCTGAAATATCGACTCAGGGAACTCCATGCCACCCAGTTTCAGCCTCAAACATTTTCCCTTTTTGCGGGAAAAAAAAATGTATTTGGAAAAGCGACCAAAGGCTGTGCTCTGAGGACACGCACAACAAAAATGGAAAATTTCCTCAAATCAACATCACGTCCGTTATGCGTGGTCAGCGGCTACTTTTCTATTTCTGCCCGATTCGCTAGGATATGAAAATTCTTTGAAAACGTAACGTCCCCAAAAAATATTCCCCAAAAATTTCCAATATTTTGGAGATCTGACATTTTTCCTGAGCTCAGTGCGTCAGTAGTCACGTTCTTGCCAAGTTTCAGCTTTCCAAGTGTCTCCGTTTAATGGAAGCAAAGAGAACTATTTGAAAACATGTTCCCTGAAAGGTTGTGCGGCGATGGAAAGTAGAATTTTTCCTGAACTCAGCACGCGAATAGCTACTTATGTCAGTCAGTCAGCTACTCACGATCTTCTAAATACAGGGTGTCCCAAAAGTTCCTATCTATTTTGTTGAAATGGGCTGAATTTTAAATAAATCACTCAATGATATGATTACACGTTTATTTCTATGCAATATTCAAACATTAGATAACTGTCTGAATTATTTTTAACTTTTTAGTTTTTTTTATATTTCAGATCCACATCATTGATGATGAATGTGCAGGAACGTGTTATGGTAGTAACTTGTCGCATCAGAGGAATAAAATGTGACGGAGCGGTGTCGCTCAGCTCCCTGCGGCGCGAGCGATGCGGCACGAGTCGAGGTCGAGTCGGGAGGTTTTCCTTTTTTTATTATTCGAACATCTCTTCGATCTTCAATTCCACAGAGAAAACCCCAAAAAAGGAGGGAAAATGCATAAATAAGAACTGAATAACGATAAATATTATGGAAAAAAAGGTGGAGAGTGAAAAACAGAGAAGGCCAAGACCAAGAGAAAGAGAGGGGGAAAAAACCTTAAACAGCTCAACGAAATGAGAAAGAAAATTAAGGGGGATGATTATAAAAAAAAAAGCAAAACAAAACAAGGACATAAATGGCAGGGAGGAGAAGTTACCAGGATCCAGGGGAGAGGCGACAGAAAGAGAGAGGGGGAGAGAGAAAAAGGTAATAGAGTGATGGTAAATCTCAAAATGTGACTAGATGCGGAAGTACGCATTGCTGGGGACAATTCACGGGATACCCATTCTAGCCTCTCAAGGAAACTTTTTAATGGATTCCAGAGTTTGTTAAAGTTCAAAGCATTCCCGTTTCGATATGCTATGAGTTTTCCCACACGGAAATGTTTCTTAATGGCATGAAGTAATTGATTGAATGTGGGTTTTTACTTTTCCATATGACAAATGAGAATGAAATGTCTGGTAAGAAGTAAAATGATATTAAGCAAGTGGCTATTCCTTCCACTTAGACCAAAGAGCTTATCTTCACTGGTTAAAATCGGTCTCAAACCCATCGTAGTCGTAGTACCCGCCACGAACGTGTCATCGGCAGGGCCCAGAGCAACGCGGACTTTGCGGCGTCGCTCCGCTCCCTGCGGCGCGAGCGATGCGGCACGAGTCGAGGTCGAGTTGGGAGGTTTTCGCTCGATCGGCGCTTTTGCAGCTCTGGACGCGGCTGTCGAGGTTCAAAATAACGAAGGGCATCAGTTTCATGAAGCCAGGTATCTATTTACATTTGAAATTTCGAACAGTTGGCTGTGAAGGGAAATATTTTCTGTTTTAAAATTGATATCTCTTTCCAGTCGGCACGAAAAACCGTCTTCGATTGGCAATTTTGATGCCAATGTTGATGGCAATGAATAGCAATGAAAGACATGCTTGAATTTTATCAAGTAAGTTATCTGCACGCGGAATTCACTTTCATATCGTGTAGTTTCAGAATTTGCCATGGAGTAGAAATAAAGAACTGATACAAATAAATACATAAAAAAAAAGAATTTAACTGAATTCCTTGAACTTAGCTGATATTCTTAGCATATCACATCGTGGCCATTATCGAGATTGAATTCGGATATTTGATCGATATGCTATGAATCAGACAGGGATTAGTTTCCTTTTAGTGGATTTTGCCCTGGACGATTTTCGTCCTATGGCCAGAGAGTTGGATGCGCGAAGAATCCGCTGGATTTGAATCCTGGGGCCCCGCCGAAACTGCTGCCGCAGATCGTTTCCCTCATCCCAGATCGGGATGCAGAATTTCGAGATCCTGGAGACGCACCTGGTCTGCCTCGCGTGGAGCTTGAACGCAGGCACATGTCATCGACCCCGCCTGCGTTGGTGGGTTGCGTGGGGAGAGAGCGTCAGATGAGTAGGTGGATGCGATATCGCTCCTAGTCTGCAGTCACGAATGAGGATGGTGGGGAGTACACCTGTCCCTCGTTAATTGCCACACCTGATATCATGCAGTTATTTGTCAATGTCAAGAAAGAGTGTGCAAAACCGTTTGGAAAGGTGTCTATAAAGGGGGATATCCCCCTTGAAAATGAACTGCTCTTCTCTCAGATTAAGTTCCAGCAGCAGAAGTGGATGGTCGGATGCTCGACGCCTCCCCGATAGCCTCTCTGTCTCCTCTCGTCGTCGACGGGACCCGATCTCTTGAGGATATTTCTTGGGGAGGCGAAGTGCTGGAAGGTCTCAGTTCGCTCTGTGGCTTTTCTGCTTTTTCTTACGTCTTCCATATTCCATATCAATAAAAATGAATATATTTCCCCCCCGCTAAAATGAGGAAAACGATGTGTCAGAGCAGGTTGTGTCGCAAGAGTAGGGCATCTCTTGGAAGCCAAAAATCAATGCGAATAAATTTCAAACTTCTTATTTCAAACATCAACTCAAACTTTAAAGAAAAACGTCGAATCAGTTGCTCGGACGCCAGAGTGCTTCTTCTTTCGTATAGCGTTTTGTAGGGCAACAATAAAGTTCAAGGTTTAGGTTAGCTAACCATTCGATTGCTTCTGGAGCTGCTGAATGGATGCAGTTTATATCAAACGCGAAACTGGAGCACGAGAGAAAAAAAAGGGAATGGGGCGAGCTCCAAGGGCTCGAGGAGGATGCTGCATCCCTCCGAGATTGCAGGGACGCTGCTACGTTAGAATGCTCTGATTGGACAGTCGTTTACAATATGTTGGATAGTTTGGCTCGATGCACCACAATCGCATTTAGGATTTTATTTTTCTACCATATAGGTAGGTGTTGGTTTTCGTCATCGAAATGCTACAGAATTGCATCAGCTGAATCAAAAAGAGTTGAAAAGCTGGAGCCGATGCAATAAATTTTGTTACCACATTAGCAAGGAAAATAAAATATATTGCAAGCATTGAGTCGGTCGGGCTAACTCTTAAGTCGA